TATGACGTAAATTTAAATGTATTTTCGTAAAACGAGTGAAAGGTGATTTATATTTGTAAATTATAATTTAGCTTTCGTTATTCATGTATTTTAATGAATGCACGCAATGGAGTGAACTTATATCTGCCATTTGTTCAAGAGAAAAATAATAGTTAGGAAAAAGCTAAATTAACCTGACGAAATGGAATCAAAGTTCGAGTTCGAGAGAAAAGAATTTTAACAGTATTGTAAGAGAGGGTAAAACTTGTAATACTCTAGGACAGAGAGGACTTGAGTAAAGATTATCTGATTAGATTTAGAAGTATCAGATATAGTTAGCTCGCATGTATTTTGTAGAGACAAATTGCCTGAAACTCAACTGCGGAAGAACATTAGATGCAACATTATGGGGAACACAATCCTAGTTTCATTTAATTATCGAAACAACTTTAGAACTGATATTTTGTTAATTGTTGAATTAGATCTCAGTCAACAACCTTTGTTACTAGAGCTTTATCGCTAAACGCATTTTACTTTCCGTAACTGTTTCTTTAGGAAATAATAACGACATTTGAGTAAAACACGAAAGTGAATTTATTCTCTGTGGGATCGACCTCAACTCACATTGAGTTTTATAAATTGATTTCGACCGTTTATACCTCTTAATTGAGGTGTAAGTTGGGACATATCAAATTTGTGAGCAACCTTCCATTTTAGCTATTTAAATGAATGGAGGTTGACTTTGTGTTTATCTGAAATATTGTGATTAGTATGTTTGTGTTTCTGATGGACTTTTGAAGTGTGTCTGTTGGGCTGTGCAACAACTATTATTTTTTTGTGAGAAATGAGGACCTTAATCTGAAAGTTGACTGTTAGGATCCTTAGAGATCATCTTAGATACCTACATGTTGAACATTGCTACTCTAATAAATAAATTGGTGAACCAAGAAATTGGAGAATGTAGTTATTTGTCATGTGTGTGTGAGGATTGCTCGAAGTCTAATGCTAGGAGAAGAAACTAGAACTTCCTCGAGTAGTCTTGCTTAGATCTGAGAATAACCGGATAGGAAAGGATCAGTAGGCCATATTTGCTAAGCCATTAAAAAGTCAAAAATAAAACAACCAAATAAAAAGCTTATCACTTGAACTCGATTTTAGCCTGAAAATCACTATTTGTTCTTACCCATTAAATATCATATACTTGGGTCTCCGAAGATATGATGTCACAACTAAGGCCAAAAGCCTAATTTGAGGGTGTTGCAACCCGAGCAGAAATAAGAAGTGAAAAAGAAGGTTCAACCAGTGAGATGAATGAATAAAAAATAATTGATGTTGGGATGTACTAAAACGAAGAAAAAGAGGGAATCACTCAGAAAAGAGTTGTGTGCAAACGAAACTTTGGAGAACCAAGGGACTAGTCACTCACAAACCCAAATATCCATTCCCTAGCCTGAGCCTATGTTACAAGCCGATAAAGTCCAACAGTGATTCTATACTGAATGTTTGAAAGATAAAGCGTAGAAAGCAAGGGCAAGCCTGTGGTAGTTTTGTGTTAGTGTTAGAAGTTCTTTGAGAGTGCGAGTGTAGTACTTATTCTCAATTATCATGAGTGAGGGACTTTTTTGGTGTGAGGACACAGTGATTGCATTTTAGAGTAGATTGTATTAGCTGAGAGTTCACAAGCATAAGCATGGTCGACTGTGAGTAATGAGATGTCATATATTCATCCTTGCATGTTAGATTGATGATTTTGGATACAAATTGTATTTGAGATGGTTGTTGCATAGTTTCAAAAGTGTTTGAATGATTTGAGGGTTGAATGTATTGTTTTCTCATCACTTGAGGACAAGTAATGGTTCTAAGTTGAGGGTGTTGATGTGCCATGAAATCTTGGCACATTTGATGCTTGAAAACTAAGAATTAATACTAGAATCGAGTGTATTTATAAGGATACAATGTGTTTGGTAGTGTTTGTATAGGTGAAATGGGTGGAGGTAAAAGAGGATAAAAAAGATTAAAAATCAATGAAAGTGGAAGTAAAGACCACAGACGACCTCATAGGTTGTGGTCTTCACTACTGATCGTGGAGATGCTCATAGAGTTTAACCAGTGATGAGGGTTGGAGGAGTTGAACGAGAATTGAACCAAGTGAAGACCATGAACAACCTCAAGGGTCGTGGTCCTCACAACGGTCCGTGGTGAGAGTCGTGAAGATGAGCCAGTGAATTGGCAATGAAAAGTTGAAAAGGAAATTGACTAAGTGAAGACCACGAACAACTACACGGACCATGGTCATTGTCACGAATTGTGCTGGTGTCCGTGGTGATGATCTAGTGAAGGGGGATTGTAAATATGAAGAGGAAATTGATCATGTGAGGACCACAGACAACTACCTGGACCGTGGTCATTGTCACGAGTCGTGGTGGTGTCCATGGTGATGACTCAGTGTACAGGCTTTGAAGAACCTGTTTTGGGTGAGTGCAGGTGAAGACCACGAAGGTATTCACAGACCGTGAAGTCCTTGACGGGTCGTGGAGGCAATCATGAAGTGCCCGACATTTCAGTCCTACTTCAAGTAGGACTCTTTTTAAAACACTTTATTTGAATTAATTAGGTTGTTTTTAGTTTTTATCTTGTCTTATCTGGAACGAAGAATAAGTTTTCAAATATTCTTAGCTTTTGGTTTTTAAGATTAACATTGAATTAAGTTTGAAAGTTGGATTTACGGTGCATGAATTATCAAAGTGCTTATCGATTTCCTTATTTTTGTAAGTATTTTCTTGTCATGTTTTCATTATATACTTGTGTAAGTTTACGTGAAATCATGAGTGGCTAAATACCACAACTGGGATTGTGGGATCTATGACGTAAATTTAAATGTAATTTCGTAAAACGAGTGAAAGGCAATTTATATTTTCAAATTATAATTTAGCTTTCGTTATTCATGTATTTTAATGAATGCATGCAATGGAGTGAACTTATATCTGTCATTTGTTCGAGAGAAAAATGATAGTTAGGAAAAAGCTAAATTAACTTAACGAAATGGAGTCAAAGTTCGAGTTCGAGAGAAAAGAACTTTAACACTACTGTAAGTGAGGGTAAAACTTGTAATACTCTGGGACCGAGAGGACTTGAGTGAAGATTATTTGATTAGACTGAGAAGTATCAGATATAGTTAGGTCAGATGTATTTTGTAGAGATAAATTACCTGAAACTCAACTACGGAAGAACATTATATGCAACGTTATGGGGAACAAATCCTAGTTTCATTTAATTATCCAAACAACTTTAGAACTGATATTTTGTTAATTGTTGAATTAGATCTTAGTCAACAACCTTGGTTACTAGTGCTTTATCGCTAAACCCATTTTACTTTCCGTAGCTGTTTCTTTAGGAAATAATAATGACATATGAGTAAAACGCGACAGTGAAATTATTTCTGTAAAGAAATTCTCTGTGGGATCGACCTCAACTCACGTTGTGTGCTATAAATTGACTTCGATCGTTTATACTTCCTAATTGAAGTGTAAGTTTGGACGTATCAAATTTTGGCGCCGCTGCCGGGGAACTTCAATTCAGAAGTGTTTCACTAGATTTATTCAACATGTAGTTATATTTCCTAATTTTACGTCTTGTTCTTTATCTGTGTCTCTTTCAGGTGAGTTCGATTGTGTATGTCAAATACCAGAAGTAAGGGAGCCACATTATTCCGATACGACCCAGAACTTCGGAAGACAATCCGTAAAATGGTGAATGCACAAGAACTTGAGGCTCAGAGGCAAAGACTTGGACTGGAAGCTGAAACCGCTGCAAAAGGTATTCAACAAAATGTTGTGAACAACCAGCCTAGTGTTGTGGAAGGAAACATAGCAGTGGATGAACTTGTTCCTCCCCACCGTCAACCAATAGCTCCAAGTGGTAGGGCACAACATACAGCTCACAAGATGTATAAAGAGGATGACTTAGACTTGGATGGAGCTGGAGCCACATGAGCGATAGTGTTACTTGCACTACCTCCAGGTGTGAAATTCACAATCACCAACACTATGATTCAACTGCTGAATTCGAAAGGTATGTTCAGGGGTGCAGCTGGTGATGATACTAATCAACATTTGATGAACTTTGTGGCGATATGCAAATTGCAAGAAATTCCCGGGGTTAGCCAGACAGCAATGAGATTGAGGTTGTTCCCACTCTTACTGGGGAGGCAACCAATTGGTGAAATGAGATGCCTGATGAGTCAATCGGGACTTGAACTGAGCTGAAGGAGGCCTTCCTGGAACTATTCTTTCTGGAATCAAAAGAGCTGCAGATGAAAGATGAGATAAGTGCCCATAAGCAGTTACAAGGAGAAGCGATGCATGCCACTTGGTGGAGATTCATCCAAAAGCTAAAGAAGTGTCCAAACCATGGTCTCATTGAGAGACATCTAAAAAGGGTTTCTATAGATCTTTGAATTATGTTACTAAACCTGTTGTTGATGCAGTGTGTGGAGGATCATTCATGAGGAAGCCATTCTCAGAGAGCATGTAGCTGATAGACGAGGTGTCCAAGAATAATAGGGCATGGTACACCAGGGATGCAGAAGTAGGAGACCTTAGGTTCACTTTTAAACTCTCAGCTGAACAAAGGAAAATAGAAGAATAAAGGGATCAGGATATGGCACACATGAGGACCCAGATAGACCTACTCACGAAGCATATTGTCGCAAGTTTTGAAAATGTAAATGTTGTAGGACCTCCAAATATGTATAAAGATTAGGACATCGATCTAGATGAGGAGGTGAAACACTTGGGCAACCAATGAGGTTTCCAGAATTATAACTCGGGACACCAAGGTTACAATTCTGGAAATGCAGGTCAAAACTATTCAAGTGAAGGGCAATATGAAAGGCCAGCAACAAAGAGTAGAGAAACTGGTAGAACAGAGATGGGTACAAAAATGATTGCAGTGGTGTGTATGTCCCCCCAGGTAATAGAGACCGGGTGAGTCGTAGTTCCAGTGGGTCTAAGCTGGAAGACATGTTGGCCAAGGTGCTCCAAAAAGTTGAGTCAACTGATGCAGGGGTGAAGGAGATGAAAGGTGATTTCTCCAGTATGAGTCAACTAGTAGACTCCCACACCACCTCCATAAAGCAAATAGAGCAGCACTTGGGGCAGCTTTCAGCATCACTAAATCAAAGGAAGAATGGGTCACTGCCTAGTGATACTATTCAAAATCCTAAGAAGGACGGGCATTGCATGGCTATCGCCACCAGGAGTGGTAAGATTCTTAATGACCCAATTTTTATAGGTACTGAGAATGAACAGGTTGTGGAGCAAACTGGAAGAGAGGAGACCGAAGCTGAACATGTATATGACTCGCAGGACGCTCAGCCAATAGTGAAACAAACAAGAGCAACGGAGAAAGGAGTTGAGAGAATTATGCCTTTACAACAAATTTCAAGACCACCTCCTCCTTTCCCTCAAAGGCTTAAAAAAAAGCCGAAGATGGGAAATTTGTGAAGTTTATCACCATGCTGAGACAACTATCAGTGAACATACCATTGGTGGAAGCCCTAGAGCAGATGCCAAGTTATGCCAAGTTATGCCAAGTTCATAAAGGACTTGGTCACGAAAAAAAGAGTTCTAAGTATTGATTTTACTGACAATGTTCATCACTGCAGTGCTATTGCTACCAGGTCTCTAGTAAAGAAGGTGGAGGATCCGGGTGCATTCACCATACCGTGCAGAATCGGATTAATCGAATTCACAAAGGCCTTGTGTGACTTAGGGGCCAGTATAAACTTGATGCCATTGGCCATCTACAAGCAACTGGGGTTAGGAGTTCCAAAACACACATCAATGAGGTTGATGATGGCAGATAGGTCGAGGAAGCGACCCGTGGGCATCTTATGTGATGTGCTCGTAAAGGTGGACACTTTCATCTTTCAAGCAGACTTTGTGATATTTGATTGTGAAGTGGATTTTGAGGTTCCCATAATCTTGGGAAGACCATTTATAGCCACAGGATGAGGATTGGTTGATGTCTAGAGTGGAGAGCTGAAATTCAAGCTCAACAATAAGAAGGTAAAGTTTAAAATTTGGAGGTCCATGAAGAAACCTCAAGACATGAATGTGGTGTTGGCAATAGAAGTTGATGATAAAGGAGAGTTTGGAGTGACTATTGAGGAGAGGATGGCTGTCGAAACATTAGCAGTCATGTTGATGAACTTTGAACCTGATTTCTGGTCTGACTATGTAGAGACTGTGAATGTTATGCAGGGAATGGGAGCACATTATTATGCTCCAAAGAAACTGGAATTGGATTTGAAAAATAGGCCAAGTCCTCCAGCAAAACCATCCATTGAGGAGCCACCTATGCTGGAACTGAAACAGTTACCCAGTCACCTGAGGTATGTATTTTTAGGTACTAACAACACTTTGCATGTGATCTTAGCTGCATATTTGAATGAAGAACAGATTCAAGATGTGATCAAAGTGTTGATAAGGTACAAAAGGGCTATTGGGTGGACCATTGCTGACATCATCGGGATACCTCCAGGTATATGCACCCATAAGATCCAACTTGCGGAGGACTGCTACTCAATCATTGAACACCAGCGGAGGCTAAACCCACCAATGCAAGAGGTGGTCAAAAAGGAGATTATGAAGTGGTTAGATGTTGGGGTGGTGTACCCCATTTCTGACAGTCACTGGGTCAGCCCAGTGCAATGTGTTCCCAAAAAAGATGGTATGATAGTGGTGGCGAATGTAAAGAATGAGTTGGTCCGACAAAGACCAGTCACTGGATGGCGAGTGTGCATGGACTATAAGAAGCTGAACAAGAAGACCTTGAAGGATCACTTCCCAATGACATTTATGGACCAGAAGCTTGAAATGTTGGCTGGAAAAAGGTGGTACTATTTCTTAGATAGATACTCTGGCTACAACCGGATATCAATTGCTCCTGAAGATCAGGAAAATACCACATTTACATGTCCTTATGGCACATTTGCGTTTAAACGCATTCCATTTGGACTATGTAATGTACCAGCAACCTTCCAGAGGTGTATGATGTCTATCTTCTCGGACATGGTGGAGGACACTCTAGAGTATGGCTGGCAACGGGACCGGTAACGGGACTACCGGACCGGGACGTTCCGGAACCGGAACGGAACCGGGCACCACGGGCCGGAACCGAACCGGAACCGGGACGGACCGGAACCGGTAATTCCGGAAAAAATTCCGTGTTCCCGTCCCGGACCGGTAACGGACCGGTAACGGACCGGACCGGACCGGACCGGAAACCGGGTCCAACCGTTAAAATTATAATTTTTTTATTAAAATTAAAAAATTAGGAACATTACACTTAAAAATTTATACTTTTAAAGTTTTAAATACAAACTTTCAAACTTTTAAAAGTATAAAAGTTTAAATTTCACAATTTAAAAGTTTGAAAATTTAAA